TCTCTCACATGTTCCGCCATGTGCTTCTCATCCGCGCTTGTTTACGTCAGAGTGCGCACGCGTCTTTCACGCAGCATACAGCGGTGTTGTACATTTTGACCAGTTGATGGGAAAAGTATTCTTAAAATGCATTCAAAATTCTGAATAATTTGTAATATATAATTATTCACGGTATTTAGACGTGCCCACGATAGCATATAAGAGTTACCGGGGTTATCAATAGCAATAGCAGACCTGCCAACCTTGGAAATTTTTTTGAGTTTTTTGAGTATGTTAAATATTTTCCAAAGGTTAGCAGGTCTGCACAGTATGCAACAATACAGTTCAACCACGGATCAATATATACCTTGGTTCCCTTTCGAGCATTCACTCTACATTACGGAGCATTCACAATAGGAACTCCTCCCCTTCTCCGAAATCCTGAAACCTTATAGGATAACGCCAGTTCAATAAACTGGCCAATTGTCGCTAATCTATGCAAATCGCATGCAAATACTGACAAGCCTGCGGGGAGTATAAAATGCGGTGAGAGCGGCAATTGTCTCCGAATATTTTGCTTCATGCTGCTGCCATCTTCGAAGACGCAACAGAAAAAATTATCATATCTTCAGCATTCGATAGCTACTTTCTGTAGGATCGGTTTGTGTCTTATGAGCTTGGAGGGATATTGCTCGTGGCCTGATGGGGACGAGGCCCACTGCCATCTGTGTGCCACTGGTGGGCCTTCCCATTCCTCGGGACAGAGGTGACAACTCTGCCCCGGGCCGTTGTCCTCTGCCAACACCCCATTCCCCCAGTCCTCTTCTCCGAAGAGTGTTTTCGCCCACCTCCTGCCCTAGCGGACTTCATCTCCTTCTGCACTGATGAGTAAGAGGACTCCATGTTCATCTCGGCTTCAAAGAAGGTCTGGGCAGAGTCGGAGCTGGATCGCCCTGACACCGATGGCCTTGCTGATCTCCATGAGGAGCTCACCAGGGTTCTTGCTAAGGTGGTTAAGGAACTTGACCTTAGCTGGGATGTTCCACAGGAATCTGCCAGGAGTAAACTTGACTTCTGGCAATTGTAGTCGGGCCGCTTCGAGGAGGAAGTTACCATTCTTCTCGGATGTCCATGAGCACATGCACCCCAATCGGCCCGCATCCACACTCCCACGCAGTCTCCCTTCTCCCACATGGATGGGGCGGAAGCCCATGGATACGTGTGCATGCCCCCCGTCGAGGAGACCGCCGCCATGCATTTATGTCCTTCTTCCGCTATGCTGGGCATGGCCCTCAGCCCACCGTCCAGGCCCTGTAGGCTGACTGCCAACCTGGCTGACAAGGCCTACACTTCCGCTGGTGAGGCGGCATCCCCTCTACAGGCTATGGCGTTGCTGCAGGTTTTCCAAGCCAAGCTCCTGCTATCCATGTACGGAGGCAATGTCACCACTTAAGCGTTGAAAGACCAGTGTACAGCGACGGACTTTGCGCTGATGGCAACTAAGCGCAGGCCATTGGTCGATCATTGGTGCCCTGTCCTGAGTTGGATGTTCGTCCTGATGGTCCGGTCAAGAGGAGGAGAAAGCTTGCTGGAGGCCTGGCCCCCAAGCGCCATGTTCTGCATCATGTCCCCTTTGTTCCTGTAGGAGACAAATGCAATGTTCTTGTTTCTGTTTGCTCAATAAAAACACAAACACCCTCACAAAAAGAGCTGTTTCCTCCTCATACTATAGATACTGCGTCGCTTGCCCCTGCCTGTCATGGCCACCCAGTGTTGTCTTCCACATGCTGTTTCCCTGCCAGCACGTTTAGCCTCGTTGGGGCAAGGCGTCAGTCTACGAACTTCGTTGCTAGCAATAGCGACTGGAGGCATTTGGCCGCAATGTCAGTTCCTAGATGCATGGACAGCTATTCCAAGCATTTCGCACTGGGTGCTGGAAATAATAGAGCATGGGTATTCTCTCCAGTTCAGACGCAGACCACCCAGTTTCAATGGCGTGGTCCTGTCACTGACACTGCCTCGAAATGCCCCTGTTTTGAGACAGGAAGTTCACAGCCTGCTTGCTATTTTGTGGTACCCAAGAGAGATGGGGGACCCATCTAAGTGTGCATTCTGGATGACAACACTGAAGCAGATCCTGGCACAAATCTATCCCAGGGACTGTTTTGCATTCGTAGATCTGAAAGATGCATACTTTCATATTCAGATAGCTCCGCAACACAGACGCTTCCTGAGGTTTGCTTTCGAGGGCACAGCATACCCCAGTACTCAGTGCTTCCTATCGAGCTGGCTTTAGATACTGGTGTCCCCCCCTTGGCGAATCCCCCTCAGGAGGGACCTGCTATCTCAAGCGAACGGCTCGATATGGCACCCCAGCCCGGAGCTGTGGAGCCTTCATGTGTGGCTGCTTCAGAGGTCCTAGAGGAGCCAAGTGCCCTGCCTCCCCATGTGCTTGACACACTCACTGAGTGTTGTGCACATTCTACTAGGCGTCTGTACACACTTAAATGGGGAGTGTTTGTGAAATGGTGCTGTGATAGAGACGTCGACCCAGTGAGCTGCCCCGTGTCGGATGTTCTACGTTTTCTGCAGCGCAGGCTGGATAGAGGGAGCCTACCGTCGACGCTAAAGGTGTATGTGGCCACTATTGCTTCGTTTCACTCCCCGGTTGACATGCAAATGATCGGGAAGCACACGCTGGTGGTCAGATTTCTCAGGGAAGCGAGGAGATTACATCCCCCACGCCCACCTTCGGTGCCACCGTGGGACCTAGCGCTGGTTCTAAAAGCTCTCTTTCTTCACCCGTTCAAGCCCTTGGAATCTATCGCTATGAGGGAGCTCTCCCTCAAAACTGCTCTGCTTCTCGCCTTTGCCTCGGCTAAGCGCATAGGAGATTTGCATGCGCTCTCGATGGGCGACTATTGTGTTCGTTTTGGGCCTGGAGACTGCAGTGTTACTATGTGCTTAAATCTCTCTCCACCCCTTTTAAAGCGCAGGTCATTTCTTTGCCTGCTTTGTCTTTCGCGCCGTCGACTTCGCATGACGCCAAGGCTCGGAGCGCTGTTTGCCCGGGTAGGGCCTTAAGGATTTATATGGACCACTCTGCCATCTTTCGACAGTTTGACCATCTCTTCATGTGCTTCAGTGGCCGTTCTAAGGGACAAGCAGTTTCTAAGCAGAGGCTTTCTCACTGGATAGTAGATGCTATCGTGTCAGCTTATGCGAGCCAGGGACAGGAATGCACTCTCAACATCAGAGCCCATACGATGAGGGCTATTGCCTCTTCATGGGCCTGGTCTATTTGGGATATATGCCATGCAGCTGGCTGGTCTTGACAGAATACTTTCGCCAGGTTTTACAAGTTGGATGTGCCGTCCTTGGCGTCTCAAGTTCTTTCGGTAAATCACTAAC